AAAATTAAACAGGACAATATTTAACATACCAAACAATTGATATCTAGGCTCATAACAGCATTATTCATAACAGGAAAAGGTGGAGGCAATTCATTTATCCATCTACAGATGACTGCATAAAGAATATGTGGCATATATATATATTTATTTGAGAGATTTACACATAAGCATAAAATGAGCAGTAAAATAAACCAGTGACAAAATACAAATCCTATCTATGATACTATTAAATATTAACTCTATTTTATTATAAGAACATTGTTGCATAGTTTTAATTTTTAAAGGATTTGTAGAGGTAGGGAAACAAAGAAAATGTGTAATATATTTTGTGTTAGATCTGGAGCTCACAGTAAAGATAATTATTCACTTTGAATTACTTCTAGTTAGAGCTCAGCGGTGGTGCCTTCTATTACTCCATGAGAGGCTGAACATTTGACCACATAAAGAGACATTTTGACAAACAGAAACCCTGAGAAGGTCAATGTTGGAAGGCCAAGATGTTCACATTGACCTGCTGCCTAAGCCATAAAAGCTCACAGCAAGGCTTAATTCCAGCCTTCCTCATGCAATAGGCTGCTGATTCATCATTCCATCCAGAGCAGGTCAGCTGAGGACCAGAGCAGGTCAGCTGAGGACCTGGGTGCTGCCCTGCACAGAGACAGAGGCCTGGACTACATGGCATCTCAGCCCCTACAAGTCAGAGGTTGAGAGTCTGAGAAGATCCACCATTGTGCAAGCCTCAGAATCAATACCTGACATGCCCCCTTACAAAGTACTTTGGAACAACCTGAGCAGGAGAACAAATGTTATGCCCAGCTGAGACAGTGGTGGATCTCTCAAGGTCATGTGGCCACACATTACATTCCTCACTGTGCTGTGTCAGAGTGTAGATTGCTACAAGTATGGCCTAAGGCAAAAGGAATAGCTACTTATAATGTGTAAAGTCAGTGCTCATGCCAGTGAGAGGTTTTAAAGTCACAAAATACCCTCTGTGTGCATAGCCCTGGGTTGAATTAATATGGGTGTAGAAATATAAAACCCATACCAAGCTTCCAAAGAATTTATGATAGTCTCATCCAATGGTATGTCACATGATGGAGTAAAAGAAAATGAGCAGGGCACCCATGGCTCATGCCTGTAATCCTAGCTACTCAGGAGGCTCAGATCTGTTCAAAGCAGCCCGGGCAGGAACGTCTGTGAGACACTTATTTCTAATTAACCACCAGAAAACCAGAAATGGTGCTGTAGCTCAAGTGGTAGAGTGCTCACCTTGAGCTGAAGAGCTCAGAGCCAGCACCCAGGTCCAGAGTTCAAGACCCATGACCAACAAAAAAGAAAAGAAAAGGAAAAGAGTGGAAGAAGATTAGGCTAACAGAGATGGTAAAAGAGGATGAATATGGCCAAAATAGATTATTTGCATGTATGAAAATAGAACAAATTAACCTGTTGAAATTGTTTGGGGAAGAGAGAAGAGCATAAGGGGCAATGATGTGTGTGGAAGGGTATTGATTGGAATATATTGGATACATGTGTAAAAAAAACATGATAAAATTCCCCTCTGGTATAACTAATGTGTACTAATAAAAGTAGTCCTAAAAATGTCAGATGCTGGCTGGGAAGGTGGCTTAGTGGTAGAGTGCTTTCCTTGCATGAATGAGGTCCTAGGTTCGATTCCTCAGCACCACATAAGCAGAAAAAACCGGAAGTGGCACTGTGGCTCAAGCGGTAGAGTGCTGGCCTGGAGCTGAGGGACAGCATCAAGGCCTAGAGTTCAGGCCCCACTACCAACAAACAAAACAAAACAAAAAAATGTCAGATTCCAAACACTCATTACCTTTAAACCCTGTGGGTTTGGAGAAAAGTCATGAAAATCTAGGAGATGGAGAAAGGACAGGGGCTTAGAAACTAACAGCACAAATACATTCATGTGGAAGTACTAAAGATTCTTGCTCTTAACATTAACTACCTCCCTGTGTTCTCATCTGGGGGAGTAGACTTAACAATATCTCATAATGCTGTTCCTTTCTGGTCTCTCTTCATATGATCTCCAGAACTTCAAAACCTTATAGCAAGACAAAGAGCCAATCTGTTACTTCTGTTGCTTGTTACACACTCCTTACCTGCTTTACATCTTGCTCTTGACCTATGCATGTCCACATTAGATAAAAAAGAACTATTACAAAAAGATACACATGGAAGTCAGACATGGCAGCACATGCCCATCATCCCAGCTACTCAGGAGGTAGAGATAGCAGGATCTGGGTTTGATGCTGGACTAAGAATTAGAGAATTTATGTAAAAAGTAAACTAAAAGCAAAAGAATTGACCTTGAGTTTAGTCCTCAGTATCACCTAAGTAAATAATAATAAAAAGAATAAAATAAAATAAAATAATAAAATATTAATAAAATAAATAATAAAAATAATAAAAAATAATAATAAAAAGAATGAAACTTAAAAAATATATATGAAAAGAATGATGTATATTTCAGGAGTACATATACTAAAAGTGGAAAACAGATATTACCCCATGCACAAGAGTAGCATGCATTGTTAAAAAAGATGACATTGATCAAGATGCACATATTCATGAACTGCTTTGTTGACTGACAGCTCCTTTGTACAGGTACTTAAAGAATGAAAAAGAAAAGGGAGAATAGCATTCATATTTGTGTAACTTTCCACATTAAAGAAATAGAACAAAATTAAAGTCGGATGCCAGTGGCTTACACTTGTAATCCTAGCTACTCAGGAGGCTGAGATCTGAGAATCGAGGTTCAAAACCAGCCCAGGCAGGAAAGTCCATGAGACTCTTATCTCCAGTTGACCACCAGAAAATTGGAAGCAGAGCTATGGCTCAAAGGAGTAGAGTGTTAGCCTTGAGCAAAAAGAGATTAAGGACAAGAGGTTCAAGACCCACAATCAACAACAACAACAACAAAATTTAAACAAAGTAAACTATAAACAAAGATGCCAGTGAGATTCAGTCTCATCAGAAGGAATATATATATATATGCATATATATATATATATATATATGTACTGTATTTTTATTAGTATGCATTAATTGTAGAAAATAATGGACTTTGTTGTGACATGTAATATACATGTAAGATATAGTTGATCATGCCCGATTACCCACAGTGAATATTTTGCCTTCAAAGAGACATATCTTCATTGTGTACTTAGCAAGTTACACATTTCATACATTGAGTCCATCAGATTCCAAATCTATCACATATACTCTATGTGTATGTGTCTTTGTATGCGTATGCTCATTCATGAGCTTTTCTCCTTAATTCTCATTGATAGTCTATTATGACCATTAAAATGGAAAATTATACAGGATAAATATCTTTCAACAGTTGTACCTAGTACATTTGTGTTTCTTGTTGGACTTGTGTAGATGTTCATATGTACCCATACAGCATAGATTGTCAGAGCACAGAACCGAAATAAACATATATAAAAACTACAAGAATGTTTAGAATAGTCCAACCAAGTCTACCTGGAACATAGATCAGCTTAGGAAGAGATTGAAAACAAGACAAAATGATCACGGAGGTGCTCTCCAGGCAGGTATTCTTCAAGTGAATAATGTCAGTGGTGTCAGGACTTCACTTCCTTATCTCACATCTAAGTCATAGTCTAAGCTGGAAGCAGCATCCCTCAGCCCCATGGACTGAAGCTGGTGAACTTTGGGTCATCACCATGCTCAGGACCATGTGGGCGTCAGGAGTTCAGGCCTCCCATGCCTAGGCCCTGTCTCACAGGCCGGGTCAGAGCCTTCCACTAGGATAAAAGGGCTCAGGGACAGAGCACTTCCATCCACTCACCTGCTGAGGTGTCCAGTGCTCCTGTGCTGCCAGTGACCACAGTAAGTGTCCAGTGGGACCAGGGGCAGGGGCTTCTGCAGAGGAATGACAGACCAGAGCTAGAGGGAAGCTGACCTGGGTGCTGGGAATGGAACCCATGATTTTAGTAGAAGCAGGAAGGCTGAGGGTCTGTGGGACCCTAGAACCAATAAAAGGTATTAGGGAGAATTGGTTGCCTGTGCCTTTGGGTTCTGGAGAGAACAAACTGTTCCTCAGTGGAATGGACCCTCAGGATAGAGGCACAGAAAATGGCTTTATTTGGGCAGGCTTGGGGAGAGGACCTCCCCTCTACATCATTTCCTCTACCTGTAGAGGAAGAACTGGAGACAGGTGGTGGGGACCAGGGATAAGTCTGGGCTTAGGAAACCCACAGAAGCATGGGATTTGTTCACGTACTTGCCAGGATGATTAGGTCAACCATCAATCTGAGACTTGTGATACCTGAGTCTCTCCATCAGATGGTGATCTCAGGACATCTTGCTCTGGGCTGGCATGAGGGGGCCAGGGTTCAAGTCCTAGATCTGAAGGAATTGATGGGGTTATCAGTCTTTGCTTTATGGGAGTAACCATCCTTTCTTGGTAGAAAGTGTAATTGGTAGGATTTCAGTCCAAGACTGGCCCTTGGGATGTGTGTGTGTGTGTGTGTAAGTATATGTATGTAGGTATGTATTTTCCCTCTGACATGTCCCTTACACTGGAGAATTGCAGAATCTGATGAGTTGTAGGAAACCTTTCTTTCTCTAATTATAAATCTTGGACTCCTCAATATGTTTAGTAATATTATTTGGTCTTAATTTACTATTATTTTAGAATAGATGGAATTATCTGATTTTGAAGGAGGTGATGATGATAATGTAGGCATGATAATTAAAACTGTAACTGCCTAGGGTTCTTTTGTATTGTGTGAAATAATAGATTTTCTTATGACATATTCAAACATGCACACGGTGTACATTCATCGTATTCACCACCCCACAAAAGAGAAAATAAAATTATTAGAAATTGTGTCCTATTATTACAAGCAATGCTAACAGAATTAGTGGAAAGAATGGAAAACATGGTTTCTGGGTCCAGAGTTTGACTTGTGTCTGATTCTCCTTCAGCTCCTAAACTCCTGCCTGCCAAGATGTCCTGCCAGCAGAGCCAGCAGCAGTGCCAGCCCCCTCCCAAGTGCACCCCCAAGTGCCCTCCCAAGTGTCCTGCCCCCAAATGTCCCCCAAAGTGTCCTCCTAAGTGCCCTCCAGCCTCTTCCTGCTGTAGCCTTGGCTCTGGGGGCTGCTGTGGCTCCAGCTCTGGGGGTGGTGGCTGCTGCAGCTCTGGGGGTGGTGGCTGCTGTCTGAGCCACCACCACAGGCCCCGCCGATCTCTCCGACGCAGACACCAGAGCTCTGGCTGCTGTGGCAGTAGTGGTGGCAGCAGTGGCTGCTGTGGCAGCAGCGGTGGCGGCAGCAGCTGCTGTGGCAGCAGCGGTGGCAGCAGTGGCTGCTGTGGTAGCAGTGGCGGCAGCAGCAGCTGCTGTGGCAGTAGCGGTGGCAGTAGCCAGCAGTCTGGAGGCTGCTGCTGACCTGGGCCATGAGGATCTCAGAGAAGCAACAATGCTGGAGGAACTAAAGTGAAGAACACCTGCTCAGCTCTACTGGACTTCCATTCTCCATCCATGACTTCCACATCTTGGGCTGTGACATGCTGAAATCATCTGGTAGAAGATTCTGCTACTCTGTCCCACCAAATGCTGAGGCTCCCACTTGTTTGTTGCCAAACAATAAAGTCTTTCCTACCAAGCTTCACCAGATTCTTGCTTGTTTTTGCTATTGTTCTCTCTTGGTCCATGGTAGCAGGTAAAGCTCAGCCTTGTCCTGGTTGGGAGACACACCTGGCCCGGGAGTATGGGTCAGGTGACTTCCTGTGTACAAAGATAGGCCGGGTGGGGCTATTTTCCTCTCATGGGTTCATCTGATTGTACACCTATTTATTATGATTCTAAGGACAGCGACAGTATTTCTAACAACCAATGTGAAGTGCATCTTTAGAATCTGCTAGTTAGAATAGTAAAATGCAGGACAAGAGAAATGTGGGATAAGGTAGATGGTTCTGTATTAGATATTTACTCAAAGGGCAGCGATTGACAGTGATTGAGCATTAAAAATGAAAGAACTGAATCAACACAAAGCAGTAATTTATCTTTTAAGTTTACTTATACGCTGATTTTCTGCATGTAAAGAGTTTTAATTTGGAAATGAGTAGTATGATGATGTGTTCCTTCTATGCCTTAGTTTTGGTAGTGCTCAGGTATAACAACTAATCAACAACTTAAAAATAATTTTAATAGTGTGTATGCATGTGCACATGTATGCATGTGTCTATCCCATGACTGGACCTCAGGGCCTAAGTGCTGTCCTTTAACATTTTTGCTCAAGTCTAGCACTCTACCACTTGAGCCACATCTCCACTGTGTATGTGTGTTATTAATTGGAGATATGAATCTTACAGACTTTCCTGCCCAGGTTGGCTTTGAACTACGATCCTCAGATCTCAGCCTCATGAGAAGCTAGGACTATAGGTATGAGCCACCAGTGCCTGGCCAAAATCAAAGATTGGAGGAATAAAATTAGTAAATTGGGATGCCCTTGGTGCTGGTCCAGGAGAATAAAGCAAAATATCCCCAAGCTGCATTGAAGAAGGGATGCACTATGACATTCAAGAGCTTCTGGGAGACCGCAGAGATTATAATTCCAGAGACAAGGAGCTGAGATAATGTTCCAAGAAAAGTAAAAGCAAAACTATTAGGTATATATGCACAGATGGATTCTTGAATACACAACAAGTAAAATGAATCAGTTACTTTCTAAGAAAGCAAAATATAGAACCAGAGACCTTAACTTGAGAACTCTATCAAAACTTTGACATGTTTATATATATATGTATATATACATATGTGTATATATATGAATTAAAAGTAGAGTGTTGTAGAGGTTTTAATGTATTCAGCTTTGTAATAACTTTATTCTGAACAAAATAGATGTAGTTAATTCAATTATCCACTCATCTACAATTACATAAGCAAATGTGCTATTTATTTGCATTGGAACATTATGTTATCTTAAGTAAAGGAGGAAATTTGCACAAATGGTACAGTATAGATGAAACTTGAAATATTTTAGGTTAGTGTTTTTTGTTTTTTATTTCTTTCTTTCTTTGTTTTTCCCATTCCTGGGGCTTGAACTCAGTGCATGTGTACTGTCCATGAGCTTCTTTTTTTTTTTTTTTTTGGCTCAAGGCTAGCACTCTGCCACTTGAGCCACAGCACCACACCCAGTTTTTCTGAATAGTTTATTGGAGATAAGAGTGCCACAGGCTTTTCTGCCCAGGCTGGCTTTGAACTGCGATCCTCAGATCTCAGCCTCCCAAGTAGCTAGGATTACAGGGATGAGCCATTTGCACCTGGATATTTTAGTCATTTTTGCCAATTAAAATAAGCCAAAGACAAAAATACAAATATTGTGCAGTTACATTTACATGGAGTACTAAGAGTGGTCAGATTTAGAAAAACATATAGTAGATGGGGGAGAGGGAGCTGTGGAGGACCACAACATGATAGATGTGGACATTGTTCACAAAGCAATGTGATTTTAGCACGAGGAAGCCATATCTTTTTCTTTTCTTTTCTTTTTTTTTTTTTGGTCGTGGGGATTGAACTCTGGGCCTGGATGCTGTCCCTCAGCTCTTCTGCTCAAGGCTAGAGCTTTACTACTTGAGCCACAGCACCACTTCCAGCTTTTTCTGCCTAAGTGGTGCTGACAAATCGAATCCAGGGCCTCATGCATGCAAGGCAAGAACTTTACCACTGAGCCACCTTCCCAGCCTGGAAGCCATATCTTTTAAACCGCAGCTCTTAAGTAAAATTCTGGAAGGAATTGCAAGCTGCGCCCCTCACAGAAAAATAAGTCAGCTGGGCCACTGGTTATTACTGAAGTGTTCAAGACACCTGAACTCTCTTCTCAATAGCAAGTGCAAAAGGCTGTTGGTACCAGCAGCAAATATAGAATTCACCACTTTATGCCTTTGGAAATTGTGAACAGTGCTCTCAGCAGGCATAAAGAAAATCACTAGTATGTCTTCAGGATGTTGATGTACCATTGGCTTTCAATAAATGCCCAAACTACAAAAGCTGAGAAAACTTGTTACAAAATAACATTGTTTAGAAAACTAAAAAAAATTGACTAAGATGGAAAAGTTCATATAGTGTGTCTTCCAAAAGAATTTTGAGAAATAATTTGGAAGTAATAAGAAAGTTTACACTCATTTTTACCACAAATGTCATAAATATGCTAAAACTATAGCATTAGCAGTAAACAAATAACACAATTGAGAAAGATGCTGTTAAAATACACAGAATTTTCAGTTACATTTATAGGAGGTTTTTAACCATTAGTTATTAATTAAAGGGTTTTTAAAGATAAGGAAACAAAAGAAAAATGACTGCTTTACTTGACACTGGCTTGCGGTATGGAGAAGAGAGTTGTTCAGTTTGAGTTACTTCTGGTTACAGCTCAACAGAGTTTACTTTTGTTTCTTAAAAGGGTAAAAATTTGACTATGTAATAGAGACACACCTTGAAAAATTGAAAACCTCAGAAAGCCAAACTTTGATGGTCACGGAGTTTATAGTGATTTGATATGTAGGCCATCAAAGCTCAGAGAGGCTTAGCTCCAATCATCATTCCATATAGCTCAGGTCAGCTGTGGACCTTGCACAGAGGCAGAGGCCTGGAGCACATGGCATCTCAGCCCCATCATCCTACAAGTCAGAGGTTGAGATTCTGAGAAGATCTGCCATTGCAAAAACCCAGGAATCAATATCTGACACACCCTATTACTAAGCAGTTTGGAACAACCTGAGCAAGAGAATGAATGTCCTCCCAGGTGAGATGGTGCCAGAACTCCCAAGGCCATGTGCACACATGTTCCTCTCTATGCTGTCTCAGGGTGCAGCTTGCTATGAGTGTGCCTTAAGATATAAGGAATAACTACTTATGAAGTGTAAAGTCAATGTTCACACTCGTGAGAGGCTTTAAAATTTGTAACACACCCTGTTATGCTTATTACAGGGCTCTGTATTGAACTACTGTAAGTAGAGGAATATAAAACCCAAGCCAGGATGTTAAGGAATTAATGACAATTTCACATGACCTCTCACATGATGGATTAACAGAAAATGAGTGGTGCTGAATTACATTATTCTGGAAGAGCCAAGGCAGGAGTTGTGTTGCTGGGAGAAGTATCACCATGTACAGAAAGTAATGTGAGTGAGCTAAGATCATTTCTAAGGAGGGAAGGCTGGAAGTCAAGTATTAAGGACAATTGTCAATAGGATTTTGACTTTTTTGCTTAAACAGTTTGCAGTTCTGAACAAGACTTTGCTAATGTCTTGGTATTATTTACTGATTACAGTGGGAGAGCCTTTTTATTGGTCCTGATAGCAGAAAAGAGTCTAGGAAGGACCATAGGATTTGGAGGCAAGTTTTTTGTTTGTTTTTGCTTCAGGGCCTGGGTGCTGTCTTTGAGCTTTTTCACTCAAGGATAACACTCTACCACTATCTTGATACACAGTACCACTTCTAGCTTTTCCAGGGTTAATTGAGGATAAGAGTCTCTTGGACTTTACCACCCAGGCTGGATTTGAGCAACAATCCTCAGATCTTAGCCCCTTGAGTAGCTTGGATTACAGGTGTGAGCCACAAGCACCCAGCTTGGAGACAGTATTTTGTCAGAGAAGTCGGAACACACATAAGGAGGTGATGCTCTGAGAAAAAGGGAGATGTTTGTGTGTGTATATGTGTACATACGCATGTATATATATTACATATGTGTACATAGACATATAGCATATATATGTATATATGATAGATAGTTATAGATAGAATTGTTTAAAGCTATAGACATATATATATCTAACTGTAAACATACATTTACTAATAAATATTTATCTACATGACATTTTGATTGAGTTCATCGTAACCTTGGATCTAAATAGTGAACCCAAGTCATGGCTATTCCAGAATCTCCCACAGTATAAGGAAGAAAGCACTGGCCCCTGTCTGGACTTAATTTGACTTTGATTTGTGTACCTCTGCTTCCATTTCTTTAATTTTTATATAACTTCCCAGTTACAATTGCCTCTGTGATCATCGTTCCCTGGAATGAATCCTAACTCGTTCCATTGAAACTTTAAATATGTCAAAATTTATGGCCATTTCATGTAAGGCCTGTGGACACGTAGAAAATGCATAAAAAGCAAGGGATACTGGAGAAGGGAGGGGCTTAACAAACTAACAGCACAAATACATTCACATGAAGTATTAAGAATTCTTGTTCTTCAGTGCTCAATAGGAAATGTACTCCTTACCTTACTCATGTAACTGTAACCCCTCTGTACAATATCTTTACAATAAAAAAATAAAAAATTCTTGTTCTTAAAAATTACCTCCTCCCTGCAGGCAGGGAGGTGCTCCAATTAGTCATTTTGCCCCACATGGAAGAGTAGACATACAGTATCTCAGTGTTG